CATAAATTTTAGAGCAAATTTGGATGCTCAGAATGCAGGAAATGGCATTTCCGTGGTTCAAATTTTAAAAATTTTCTGGGGGAGTACTCCCCCACACACCTGACCATTGCTATCCTCCTCTAATAAGTAATCATGATAAATGATGGTTAATTTTTTTTTACTTTTTGTGTGTTTCTTCCTTTATTTATTTCAAATACAAGTATAGTTAGGATAAATTTTGGAGCAAATTTGGATGCTCAGAATGCAGGAAATGACATTTCCGGGAGTCAAATTTCAAAAATTTTCTGGGGGAGTACACCCCCAGACCCCCCATTCATGCGTGGTATATTTAACACACACGTGGCTTTCAGCCATTGCTATCCCCCTCTAATATATTATCTCACAGAAAGGTCCCTTTTCAAAAAATGCTCCCCCACGGGAAAATCCTTAAAAAAGGCCCTGCATTATTCTCTATTTAAACTACAACTTGACTGGTTTAAATTATTATCAAGTTATCAGTGATTGTAAAAGTTGCAGATAGAAGTGTTTTGTTTTATATTATTATCAAGTTATATCAGTGATCGCATAACCTCCAAATCCTTAATTTCAAATGTTAGAATGTTAGGGTTTGTAATCCAAGTGATAATATATACATTTTAAGACCTAACCAGGAACGACTGCGAAAAATGCAGCACAAGGTCCTCTGGTAGGAATTGAACCTACGGCTCTGCGATTCCGGTGCAGCGCTCTAACCAACTGAGCTACAGAGGCCAGCTGTTGAGCTTTAACCGTAAGTTCATGTATATTTAGGTAATCGTGTGTGCGGGTTGTGATAAGGTGGACTTCAATTTCCCCTTTACAAAATTCGAATATTTTTATGATAAACTCCATGTTGAATCATGTTGCCCTTCTTAAGCCGCCGCTCCTCCAACTCAATGTTGAGCTTGTGTCGATCATGGTATATTACCTAAAGGAACTCCGGGAAAACACTGATAGAATAATCCAGTATAAATAAAGTTAGTCCAGTTTAAATTAGCCCGCGTGCAGGCCCAAGGGAACTGATAGTGGGCCTGCAAGCAAGGCCCGGTATTTTGTACTTTCCGCGTTCGTGGGCGAACGCGGCATTCTGATTGACTGTTTGCTGTTGGGTTCTATAATTAGGTCAGTGATTCATCACAAAGGCTCTCGATAAATCTCGATAAGCTTAAAATTCGAAAATTGATCACTTTTTTCGATTACAAATGGAACAAGAACAGACTGCAGACCTGCCAACCCTTGAGTAGCAGAAATAGTGAGTTGCTATCTAAAAAGTCGTAAGATTGACTTTGCTCATTAATATGACCAGGGTTAACTTTAACAACACTAGAAAATAATCAATAGATATTCAATTTTATGATAGTATGCATTTATATTTTGTTAATATAACCGTAAATGCAAGGCTTATTAAAAATAGGCTGTTTTTTCTTTATGGCTTTAGTAGTTTCCACTGTACAAAAACAAGAAAACTACGAGTAATATTAGGACTAACAGGACAATAAACTTAGCAGGACACGCCTTTTACTTTGTAACATAAACATCACGCATAAAAATTGCTGGCGCATTATTAATACACTAATAAAGTGTGATGTTTCCTTTGAAGAGTGTGCCTTATTCGGCTTATTGAAACTAGATGTTGCGCTCTTCGATGATTTCATAAGTTCCGAAAATCGTGAGATTTGCGCACTTAATCGTGAGATCGTGAGAAAGCATAAAAAATCGTGAGTCTCACGATTAAATCGTGAGATTTGGCAGGTCTGAGACTGTTTATTGTTTACTTGAAAGAAGAGATGTTTTTGCCGTTATGCCAATGGGGATTGCTTGTCGTGAGGTGTTGGAATAGCAACATTACGACTGGGGTAAACTATAGTAACCTTTTATATCCTACCACAGAGCCTTTAATACACTTGAGTTTCATTAATTTCAAACAGACTTGATACGTTATATGTTCCTCAAGAAAATGATCTTTTGGTTGGTGTTGAGATGCAGTTGCATGTAAGCCTATTCGAAACACTTTGCGATTTACAAGGCTTCGCTGAGAGAGCGAAACAGAAGACGGTATTAAATTGCCGTTTGAAACGAAACGATCTGGACCCTGAACGCTCTCTTCTTTTGTAGAGTTCTTTACCAAATGAAATAACTGAAATAAATTTCGTACTTTCCGCCGCCAACAAGAATTGCACACACGATCTGATAAGTGAGACAATTTTTTTATAACAACGGCGACAGCGAAGCACACATAATATTAAATGCTAATGTGGTCGCACGACTTCCCTCACGATTTGAAGTTTGAGACTGGTTTTCTGTTCAAATTCGTCCTAATTTGCCTGTTCCGATTTTAGTTGAAAATGACACTTGCAAATTTGGCAATTACTGGCTGCGTTGCTTGCTTTTTTGGAGTTAAAACGCAGTCATTTACACATTGTTTATGTTCTCAATAAGTAGAGAAAACCCCGCAACATTTTAATGCGAGTTTGTTTGTTAATATTTGGGTGCTGTCATTGGTTCTTTTTTGACGATTGACGCGCGAATGGGGCGTGTTATGAAAAGGAGCGTTTTACAAAATACCGGGCCTTGCTTGCAGGCCCACTATCAGTTCCTTGGGCCTGCACGCGGGCTAAGTTTAAATTAGTGTCACCTTACGCTGATCTTTGCCAAAGAGCAGTATAACAACTGACTATTGCTTGTAAAATTCCAAAACGAAATAATATCACGAATGTTGACAGTGATTGCATAAAGAAGTAGATTTTTAAAAAATAACAGTGGAGAGAAAGAATATATACAAAAACTCTCCGTAGTATATACATGCATTCAGTTGTTCAAGTTAGTTTGTCCTGTAGTGACAATGGATCATTAGCACTGAGACCTCCGTGAGAACATGTAGTTTACAACAGATAAAGGTATCCAATAAAAAACATAATTTAAATGTCAATTTACTTGAATTTAGTTCCTTGATCTAATGGAAACTTTTAAATTACATGCATGGTTCGCTACAGTATTCATGTGCGACTCACATATTTTGATGCATGCTTTCAATAACAACAATGAAATTGAATGAACTGACAGTGCCGAAGTTGAATAGTGATGGTTGAATATCGGTAACTTATTCACATGCATGTTGAAGGTTTCATAGACACAAATTTCAAATGCAGTATAAATTTTTATACATTCATTAATTATACCAAAGAATAAGCGGCTGCGAAAAGTGCAACAAAATAGGCTATCTACCATGATCCGAACTTGTCTAAGAAGTGATATATAGATGACGACATACATTACCGAGTTTCCAGGATTTAATTAAAATTTGGGTTAAAATTTACTTCGAACGTACCGCACTATTTAGTCTAGGTTTAGTTTAATTAATTTAAAACTTTTCTGGGAATTAAACATGCCTCGCAGTTTTCATTTGTGACTTGCATGTTTCAGGCGTACCTCGATAAAAAATTCCAATATTCATGCGTGTATAATTACTACTCCACACTGCAATTTTTCGTGGAGTACAGATATCCTGCATGTCTGTAGCTATTAAAATTTTCTCCAGCCGACTTTCTGAACAAATGAAATTAAAAATAAAATACTTAAGCTTTTTATTATGTAAACACTAGATCTTGGAAGCTTTAGCTTATATACCGATCAGTTCTAAACGTATTCTTCTCCTTTAAAATTCCAGTAATGACCTTATAGGACCACGCGAGGGAAGCTTAAATTAACTGAACTAATATTCCAAGAGCACATCCTCGCTGAGGAACTATCTGTATGCAAGCTGGTCAAAGGAATGAACGATATTCAGTCAATTATTTTATTATTTTGGAATATTCGACTTACACTGCCGCCAGCTTTGGAATTTTTTATGCGCTTGCATGTATTGTCATAAAGATTTTTTTCATTTATTATTAAATTAAACTAAAATATCTCGAGAACGAAAAGAGATAAACTAAGAAACTTAACCAGTAACATAATTTACAGTTTATAAGAGTTCTTTCTGCCTAAAATACAGACTTAATTTTTTCCCGATTACAGTATTAACGCTTGTTATCTTGTCGGCCATGCGCCTTGGCAAATATCACAGAGGACGTCGTAGACTTTCACGCAATTACGCCAAAGTCTAAAATATTTCTAAAGTACTGAACGTTCGAAATTATTCTATTTATTATCATTTGGAGAAAAAAAAGATAATACTACCACCGTGCACTTTGAGCTTGTTTTCAATAATTGTATTTCGCTTTTTATAGCACAACAAGATCCTTGACCTCATACTGCGTTTGTATCGTAAATTAGACATAATTTTTTTGTTTTGGCGAAGCTTTCGACCAACTCCAGTCTTCATTGGTGCTATAATAATTATATATACTAGTCAAGATCCATGCAGTATTAATAGAGAATAATACATGGGTGCGCGGAAATACCAGATTGAACATTATATATATATATATATATATATATATATATATATATATATATATATATATATATATATATATAAGATAAAATAAACCTGGTAAAATAAAGATAAAATAAACCTGGTTTACTTCATAAGATTTATTCACTACAAACTTGTTTCGTATAAAAAATAATAATATTATTACAAACTTGTTTTGCACGAAACAAGTTTGTAGTGAATAAATCTTATGAAGTAAACCAGGTTTATTTTATCTTTATCTATTATTAGGTCTATACTTCGGTATATCGAGCACTCTACTCATATATGATTCTAAATACATATTTGGTATATATATATATATATATATATATATATATATATATATATATATATATATATATATATATATATATATATATATATATATACGTCTTTGAAAAGCCATAATTTTTACTGAAAAGCGATATTTTTCACATGTGAGATTATCATAAATAATTTCATACATGAGATTATCACTTTTGCGATCAGTGCTCGAAGTAATATTTAAAGCACTATACTTTATATAATAAATGATAGTATGCTATAATAGTAATAGAAATAAACGTAATAATTCCGCAAATACCAAACAGTTATATTTTCGCATATCAAATAGGATCTATAGGCCTAATTGACATCTATATAGCTATACATGTATAATTATGTCCACTATTTAAAGCTTATTGCGACAGAAATATTTAATTTGGCTTAGCAGTCACGAAATCGACTGTTCTTCGTATATTCGCGAAATTAAAGTGCTACTATCTATTTGAAATAGTTATTTGTGTTTGCACCACAATAGCAAGTGGCTTTTGTATGTTTGCCTTTGACGTACAGTTTATGAGATTTATTTGAAAGTTGTTCACTCATCCACACACGTACACTCGAACTAATATCGATGAGAACAAAATTTAGCATTGAAAGAGCTACGTACAATTCTTGGATGTAAGTGGTTGAGACAATTTTCCCCGATATACAAAATTCGCATAGTTTTAGTGATAAACTCCAAGTTGAAGTTTAATTTAAGCCGCCGCTCCTCCAACTCAATGTTGAGCTTGTGTCGATCATGGTATATTACCTAAAGGAACTCCGGGAAAACACTGATATAGTGATCCAGCATAAATAAAGTTTGTCCTGTTTAATTTAGTGTCACCGTACGCTGGACTTTGGCAAAAAGCAGTTTAATAACTGACTATTGCTGGTAAAATTTCAAAACGAAATAATATCACGAATGTTGGCAGTGATTGCATGAAGAAATAGATTTTGCAAGAATAACAGTGGAGGAGAAAGAACATATACAAATACTCTCTAGTATATACATTCATGCAGTTGTTCAAGTCAGTTGGTCCTGCAGTAATTACAATGGACTACTAGACCTCCGTGAGAACATGCAGTTTACAACAGATAAAGGTATCGATCCAACACAATAACTAAATTTAATGTCAATTTACTTGAATTTAGTTCCTTGATCTAATAGAAACTTTACATGGTTCGCTACAGTATTCATGTGTGACCCTGTGACTCGTATATTTTGATGCATGCTTTCAATAACAACAATGAAATTGAATAAATTGAAAGGGCCGAAGCTGAACAGTAATGGTTGAATATCGGAACTACTTTGCCTTTGGGCATCTGACTCGATTGAAATGACCTATTCATGTATGTTGAAGGTTTTGTGGACACAAATTTCAGAGTATAATTTTTTATACACTCTTTAGTTATAACTCGGCGAGTATTTGCCCACCTTTTAAATAAAAGCCACCTTTGAAATCCTCACAACAAGTGCCGTCAAAACATTACACAAACCGAAACAATTATATATTTACTCACCGCTAGGCCAAAGATTCTAAATTTCATATCCAGAAAATCTTGAATAGGCCTATCTCTTGAACAATTCGTCATTTTCTGAACGGCTAAATGTGCAAATACTCTTTGTATTCAAGCGCTATCGTGTACAAAATTTCGTTTGAATACGGCGAGTAGAAATATTTATTTTGAATTTTTCAAAATGTCGGGTTTTACTCGCACTTGCGTACAATGCGCAAAAATTGGCCAATAAGAAGCTCCTGTGGCCGGAATGACACAAACTCACACGTGTAGGTGCAATTTGACCTTGCGAATCCATTTCTGGTTTTTGCAGGGTCATATACGATACAAACGTCGCATTGTTTTGACGGTTTTCAATCGTATTTCCGGTTGGGATTAAACTCACTTCGAGCTCACAGTTCGACAAGAAATAAGAGTAATAATAATAGTAATAATAATAATAATAATAATAATAATAATAATAATAATAATAATAATAATAATAATAGTAAGCTTTAATCGAACTCGCGAAATTTACAATGCAAAATGAGAACGAAACAAAAGACGTTACAACAAAGGCGAGTTAGATATGGGATCGGCGAACGGACTCGAAGTCCCAACAAGGCAAACCCCGCACATAAATTATAACTAGAAATTTACACTATTAAGAAAACACAAAACGTCAACAAAAGTTCTCTAATACCACTGAACAGACAGCCCAGTCTCTCGCTCAGGTTGACTGCGCTGTAGCCTACCAACGTCGGCCACTTGAAACAAGTAAATTTAATGGAAATTATTTCGGAAAATAATCTTAACCCATGCGCTATAGTACTAACCCTAATTCTGGTTTTAAGATAAGGATGCATATTGTACAGTCAATCTGAGGAAGAGACCGGGATGGCACAGTGTAGCATTCTCCTCAGTAACACACCTTCGCTGCTTATTAACTAACAACAGGAAGGGCTGTCAATAGACCTACAAGAAGGACATTTTGTCTTCCACGTACTTAATCTGTCGGTATCAAAAACGTTCCGTAACTCTATAAAATAATGTTTATATAAACGAGATTTAAACGCAGTGATGAAAGATGATTTGCGGAAAAATCATGTGGTAGATTATTCCAAAGCTTTACAAAAAGTGAAAATATAAAATAAAAAAATAATATAAAATGGAAATATATTGATAAAAGATACAGATTTGAAGATACAGGCTTGCAAATTACACTCCTAATAGTATTTTTGATGGGGATTCGAACAAGACAATTACAAAGACGATATGTTCGAAGGGGCCGAAGTTACTTTGGGCGAAAGGTATGGCTAGTCTATATTTTGATTCAGACAATTGCGTAATTTGAAACAATATGATCGTGTTTGATTTTCAAAAGCCCATAAATCACTACAATGCTGATAAAGACTATAACCATACGGAGGAATTAGTTGAATCTTTCAATTCTGAATCGAATGTTGGTATTTCTATCTTCATAGCATACACTGAATCGAAGATATGAAATTTCTTGGCATCGTTCTGACAAAAACGACGCAACTGGGGGTGGGTGAAAAAGAGTTATAACAAAGAATAAGCAGCAGCGAAAAGTGCAACAAAATAGCCTATCTATAGCAGGATTCGAACCTGTCTAAGAGGGGATTTATAGATGAGAACATCCGTTACCGAGTTTATAGGATTTGATTAAAATTTAGGTTAAAATTTACTTCGAACATACCGCACTATTTAATCTTTGATTTAAAATTTTTCTGCAAATTAAACGTGCCTCGCAGTTTTCATGTGTGACTTGCACGTTTCGCGTACCTCGATAAAAAATTCCAATATTCATGCGTGTATAATTACTACCTGGAACTTGGCGAGCAGTACAGATATCCTGCATGTCTGTAGGTATTAAAATTTTTTCCCGCCCACTTTCTGAACAAAGGAAATTAAAAATAAAATACTTAAGCTTTTTATTATGTAAACACTAGATCTAGGAAGCTTTAGCTTTTATACCATCAGTTGTAAAGTTAACGTAGTCTTCTCCTTTAAAATTCCACTAATGACCTTATAGAAGAAGAAGAATAGAATATATTTGCTCACAAAAAATATTTACAATGGGAATATAGTTAAAATACAATAATATAAAGGAGCTAGGACCTTTTGAAATCCTGTTGGACTTTAGATATAAGGCCCCTATATTGTTTTGAATAAAATAAAATAAAATACATAAATCTAAATTGGTTCAATATATATCATATATGTTTTAGCTAACAATATTTATATTAACAAGTAATTTAATTTTGCTTTTTTCTTAATGGAAAAATACGATTTTTGATTTTTAATTTCTTTATCAAGACAATTCCATATGGAAATTCCCTTGTTAGAAACAGTGTGAACACCATAGTTCGTCCTTTTATAACGGAAGTGCAATTTTGAAGAGTTTCGCGTATTATATAATTATGCAATTCTTTATTTTGAATAAAGTAATAATTGTAAAGGTTTGGCAAATTTTGATCATAATTCATGCAGCGATACATGAATAGACTGCAAAGATGATCATTAATTTTGTAGATATTCAAGATTTGAAGATTAAAAATAAAGGTTCTGAAAGATCTATATAAGATTTAAAACACATTATAGGACTACGCAAGGGATCGAAGCTTAACTGAACTAATATTCCAACAGCGCTACCTCGCTGAGAAACTATCTGTATCCAAGCTGGTCAAAGGAATGAACAATATTCAGTCAATTATTTTATTATTTTGGAACATTTGACTTACACTGCCGCCAGATTTGGAATTTTTTATGCGCTTGCATGTACTGTCATAAAGATTTTTTTCATTTATTATTAAATTAAACTAAAATATCTCGATAACGAAAAGAGATAAACTAAGAAAGTTAAACAGTAACCTAATTTACAGTTTATAAGTTAGTTTCTGCCTAAAATACAGACTTAAATCTTTTTCCCATTACAGTAAAATCTCCTGATATCTTGTCCATGCGCCTTGGCAAATATCACACAGGACGTCGTAGAGTTTCACGCAATTATGCCGAAGCTTAAAATATTTCTAAAGTACCGAACGTTCGAAATTATTCTATTTATTATCATTTGGAGAAAAAAAAGATAATCACTACCACCATGCATTTTGAGCTTGTTTTCAATAATTGTATTTCGCTTTTTATAGGGCAACAAGATCCTTGACCTCGTACTGCGTTTGTTTCGTAAATTAGACATAATTGTTTTGTTTTGGCGAAGCTTTCGACCAACTCCGGTCTTCATTGGTGCTATAATAATTATATTTACTAGTCAAGATCCATGCAGTATTAATGGAGAATAATACATGGGTGCGCGGAAATACCAGATTTATTTCGAGTGTTGAACATGATATATAAAGGAAGTCTTTGAAAAGCAATAATTTTTACTGAAGAGCGATAATTATCACATGTGAGATTATCATAACTAATCTCACATGTGAGATTATCACTTTTATCAGTCCTCGAAATCTCTATAAAGCACTATACTTTATATAATAAATGATAGTAAGCTCTAATAGTAATACATATAAACGTAATAATTCCACAAATACCAAACAGTTATATTTTCACATATCAAATAGGATCTAATAATTGACATCTATACATGTATAATTATCTCCAAAAAGCTTATTGCGACAGAAGTATTTAATTTGGCTTAGCAGTCACGAAATCGACTGTTCGAATATTCGCGAAATTGAAGTGCTACTATCTATTTGAAATTTTTGTTTGTATTTGCACCACAATAGCAAGTGTCTTTAGTATGTTTGCCTTTGACGTACAGTATATGAGATTTCTTTGAAAGTTGTTTACTCAACCTAACACGTACACTCGAACCAACATCGATGAGAACAAAATTTAGCATTGAAAGAGCTAGCTACGTACAATATTTGGATATAAGTGGTTGAGACAATTTTCTCCCATTTACAAAATTCGCATAGTTTCAATGATAAACTCCAAGTTGAATCATGTTGCCCTTCTTAAGCCGCCGCTCCTCCAACTCAATGTTGAGCTTGTGTCGATCATGGGTTATTACCAAAAGGAACTCCGGGAAAACACTGATAGAATAATCCAGTATAAGTAAAGTTAGTCCAGTTTAATTTAGTGTCACCGTACGCTGGACTTTGGCAAAAA